TTTTTAAAAAACATATTTAGTACAGGGTCTATAGGGTCTCACTACGCAGATCAGACTCGTAGTGATCCTCCTGTTTTCAGCCTCCCAAGCACTGGGATTACAGGCACGCACCACCATACCCAGTCTTAGTCACTGTCTCAGCACACTCGGGTTGGGGCCAGCATGGCACCAGGAATTGAACCCCTAGTCCATGCGCCTGCTTAAGCAGCCACTTTAGTTCACTGAGCTATGCAGTGAAATATAAATTCAATCTTATATTAGGTCTTTTTGTGCATTTTGAATTGACTTTTGTGGAAAGGGGATGTTGAGATCTACTTTCATTCTTCTGCATATATGCCAGCATCAATCACTGAAGAGGTCTGTGTTCTAATGTATGTCCTTGGCACTTGGGTCAAAAAGTAGAAGGCTGTATATATGTGGATTAATTTCTGGGCTCTCTGTGTGGTTCCACTGGTCTCTCTGTGTTGATCTTTATACCGGTATCATACTGTTTAACCTACTATAGTTTTGTATTATATTTTGAAGTCAGGTTTTTGTTTTTATTTTCCTATGCTTTTTGAATTTTGATTTTTGTTTTGTTTTACTTTTTTGCCTAAGATCACTTTAATAATTCTGGATCTTTTGTGATTATATATAAACTTTCTGACTATTTTTTCTATTTGTATAAAGAATGTCATTGACACTGAGGATTTTCTGTTGATTACTTTGGGTAGTAGAGTCATTTCTACAGTGTTAATTTTTCCAACCCAAATTCAGCTGTGAAATTACCATATATTTACTAACATGCATGGATATTCTTGTTCTTAGAATTGTTCCTGGACTGTTCAATAAGCACTCCAATTGCCACTATGTAAAAGGGTCGTAATTGTTGCTTTCTGCTTCAACATCTATGTTTTCTCCTCCACTGCATGATAACTTCAGAGATAACACACTGCAATCACACTCTTGGCTAAAATATTTGGGAAGAAAGCTAATATTTTTGACTAGAAGTGTCTAGTGATAATAGAAATGAATCTGGATACATCTTAAGATGTAATCAGAAATGGCCATGACTCTAGTTAAATTTTTAAAGTAGGGATTATATTAGTATTTTTAAATCCTTACTCTGTAGATAAGCGTATCTTAATTTTTCCCCCTTGTATACTTTTTTATTTACCTCAGGAAGGAGCTTTTAGGGTGGAGGGAGGGGTGGCTTGCTCTCTCTTTAGCTAGTAGAATAGTGTGCCTTTGGTCCTCACACCTCTTACGTTGGTGGACACAGTAGCCATGCTTCCTGTGAGGTCAAAGCTGGGTACCAGCCCTCTTGCTCTTGATTGGGCTTAATGGTATCTGTGGACTTTGTCATCTGCTGCTTTGAGCAAACCAGAGAAATAGCCCTTGCAGCATGAGAAAGCCCCAAAGCTCTGAGTTTATACCTCCACATCAACAAAAACTGAATGTTTTTTAGCTTTAGAATGTGTTACGTCATTTGAATTAATTTTTGATCATACTTCACCTTTGCAGAGGAATTGTTTCATATAGACACTGGTATTTTTTGAACTTAATAGCTAAAGATTCTAAAATGCATATTTTATACTGTTAAATTTTAACAGGTCAGGGAAATTTTATGTAACCAATGATAGTTACTTTATTTTTTTGTATAAATGTTGTTCATGCTGCAATGTTTAGCATTTGTTAACTCTTATTTGAACTTTTGCAAGTTCATTACTATGTTTAATAGCACCCTTGCCAAGATAGTTAGCATGTAAAAAGCAGATTTTGAGTTTTTGTTTTCAACAGCTTCCTACTGAAGCTGAGACTTACAAACAAGTTGAGTGGCAGGCCTGGTATGCTGTATCTTGTTACATAAAGCTGTTGCCAGAATCTTAGTAAATACAATGTTTTAAAAGTTTGTTGTCTTTGTATATTCATAACAAATTACAACAAGTTAAATTTAAGTGAGAATTGTACTACAGCTCTTGTGTCATATTTTACTAAGATTTTGGGCCTCTTATCTCTTACTGAATTGCTAGAAATGTTAAGAGGAATTGATAAGTCATTTTCATATAATTAGGTAATATGACATAATTTGATATACAATTTTGCCTGTTACGGAGGGTGTGCTAATTATAGTGGTATATGCACAGAACATTTTGGCATGACAAGAAGCTGAATAAATAGCTATTTTACTTGAAAAACACTCCTCAGTTTTCAAGATGCCACTTCCTCTTAGGAGCCTTCCCTAAGGTCTCCATACAGTTCTTCAGTTCCCTTTACTCTAGTAGAACTCACTGTGTGGACATCTGTAAAGGTGCTTATCATAACAGTACCTGAATTTTTCGTCTAACTGTACTTTTCTCTCCAGACTGTAAGTTTGTAAATACTTGGCCTGCTGGATTTTACTTATCTTGCTATTCTTAGTCCTTATCTTATATTTAATAATAGTTGTATATATTTTAAAATATTATTGTCTATTGAGAGTGAGTAGATCAGTTTTAGCAGTAATCTCTACTGCTTGATCATATAATGCAAATTTGACAATATTTTAGGAAATAGTTGAGTTCAGTTAAACAGCTGGCAATTTGAATTTTTTTTTTTCAGAACCAGGGATTGAACTCAGACCCTTGCGCTTGCCAGGGAAGCACTTATTCCACTGAGCCATCTCCCCAGTCCCTAAAGGTAGAGCTGGCACTCGAACCTATGAACTCGTGCTGTAGAGCATAATGCGTAACCACTACGCTATCTCTCCAGCTGGCAATTTGAGTTAATGTGATTTTTTTAATTTTATGAAAAAATAAACACAACTTCATAACAATAGTTAATACACTTGTGTTATTATCTTTAAAGTACTTAGCATTCAAGATGTTGACAAAAAGATTCTTACAAAGAAATCAACTAATATGTGTATAAAACTTTCTTTTTAGTGCACTTTTAGTATAAATTTATTTTGGTGGCCTTTTTTCTTTTTCACCTATCAGCCAGAGCTTCAGCACTGAATATACTAAAACTATATCCTAGAAAATTTTCAGTTTCTTGTTCTTAGACAACTTTCTTTAGTAATTTTTCTGTGCCCATGTGCATTAGCCTATTGGTGGCAGGCAAGGCATTAGCAAAATCAATTATTCATTTTTAGAACTCTTGTTACTTGTTGGTAGTTTGACTTAGTTGTAATATTTTTAAAATAATGATTTGACATAAACATTTTTAAGCCAGTTTGGTCCAGCGTTTCTAACACTTCCGTGCAGCCAAGTGTATACTTGTGTATACTCAACAGTGTATACACCAGTGATTGTGTTTAGCTGCCTTCTCCCACGCAGTCTCTCACTGAGTGCAATCCTTGCTGCACATGTGCTTGAATCAGTCCTGGGTCTCTTAGACATTTAAAGATTAACAATTTAGGTAGTAAAAATCTTGTAACCACCTGTCAAAGGCATATACATATGCACCCCAGTATGCGAAAAGGTCTCGGATACGATTAATGGATTCTTATTTAGACCAGCGGTGGATGAACCCGGACAAGTGATTTTAAGGCACCATCTGTGCTTCCATAGGCAAGACCAAAAGGCTTGGAGGACCAGTGCAGCAGCCCATAGGCGCTGCTGCGCCGGAAAGGACCAGGAGCTGGCCGTGGTACTGACCACATCCCTGCGCTGCGGCCCGCTGGTCCAGCTGCATTTGTGAATTCTCTTTGTCTTAGGTAATGGATAGAGTCGCAGGCCTTATAAGTGTAGAGGCAGACTCTCACTCCTTCTTACCTGCTGCAACTGCTACCTCTCGGCACCAACCATAATAACATCACGGCAGCCAGCATTCATTTACTAAACCTAGTGTGTTCTGCACACTTGAAATTCAACTACAGTGGTCCTCATAGAGGTTTTGGAATTCAGAAGGCAGATTTTTCCAAGGGAACACGGTAACCAAATAGCTGATCTGTCTTAATAGTGCCTTGAATCAGAGACAGAGAGAGCGAGAGAGCGAGAGAGCGAGAGCGAGAGATCGAGAGCGAGAGAGAGACTGTGTGTTCTCCACGTGTGCTCTCCTCCCCGCCTCTGCTCCTTCTCATTTATCTCCTACATCCTTCTCTCACTCAAGTTCCCTGGCTTTCTCTAAAGTCCCCTTCCCAGTTTGCATGGGACAAAGAAAATCTTCTGTGCAGCATGCTCCTTGCTAAGGTCAAGGTGGAGGAGCTGCAAAGACTGGGATTTAGGGCAAGTTTCTTTCTCCTTCTTGCCCCTAAGGTACTCAAGTCGAAACCACTTAGGTGATGCAGCTCTGGTCATCCTTGTTCAAGTGGTCATATCTCCTAATTCTCTCGGAGATGGTCTGTTCCACACTGTGCGAAGCCCTTCCCAGACACACACAACTGTCTTCTCTGGTCCGAATGCAAACACAAAGTACACACACACACACACACACACACACACACACACACACACACTTTGTCCACCGAGATGAACATGCTTGCTTTTTCTCCTCCCAGGTTCACAGCAACCCATACTGCTTCCTGAAGGACTCGGATTCCAGGTAGAGAGAAGTATCCTTTCCTTTGCCACCAGCGTCTCCACCCCGTTCCTGCAGTGACCCGTCCTTCCCAGCCACACTGAAGCCCTGAGCTACCCGGGTCAGGAGAGGACTCCCCGCAGAACAGCTTCCCAGCGTCTCTGCAGCGTCCAGGAGCGCTGATGCTTCGGGGAGTGCGAGCTGTGGCTGGGACAAGAGCTTGAAGACCAGGAGCCGCTGTTTTGTGACAGGTAGGCGGGTGAGCCATGGTGGGGGGCAGGCTGGGAGAAAGGGCTGCGGAGAAGAGGGTGGCGCAAGGGGGAGGTGTCAGAGAGCGAGAGCATGGGTCACTGTCTCTCCCTCTCCTCCTGGCTCTTTCCCTCCCATTGCGCCTTCTCCCAGGATTGCTTCTTCTCACTCCCCTCTGCCTCTTCAGCACCTTCTCACCGAGCCCGCCCCTGCTCCTTCCTCGCACTCTCCAGCTCCCAGGGGAACCGCCACCCGGCATCAGCTCTGTCCAGTCCAGCTTTCCAGCTGTCGCCTCTGGGAGCCAGCGGAGCACAGCACGCAGCATGTGGAACGCGACTCCCAGCGAGGAGCCCGAGCGCAACCTCACGCTGGCCGAGCTGGGCTGGGACGTCCCCGCCAGCAACGACTCCCTGGCCGACGAACTGCTGCCGCTGTTCCCAGCTCCGCTGCTGGCGGGCGTCACAGCCACCTGCGTGGCCCTCTTCGTGGTGGGCGTCGCGGGCAACCTGCTCACCATGCTGGTGGTGTCGCGCTTTCGTGAGCTGCGCACGACCACCAACCTCTACCTCTCGAGCATGGCCTTCTCCGACCTTCTCATCTTCCTCTGCATGCCCCTCGACCTCGTCCGCCTCTGGCAATATCGTCCCTGGAACTTTGGCGACCTGCTCTGCAAACTCTTCCAGTTCGTCAGCGAAAGCTGCACCTACGCCACGGTGCTCACCATCACGGCGCTGAGCGTCGAGCGCTACTTCGCCATCTGCTTCCCGCTGCGGGCCAAGGTGGTGGTCACCAAGGGTCGGGTGAAGCTGGTCATCCTGGTCATCTGGGCCGTGGCCTTCTGCAGCGCCGGGCCCATCTTCGTGCTTGTTGGGGTGGAGCACGAGAATGGCACCGACCCTCGGGACACCAACGAGTGCCGCCCCACGGAGTTCGCGGTGCGCTCCGGGCTGCTCACGGTCATGGTGTGGGTGTCCAGCATCTTCTTCTTCCTGCCAGTCTTCTGCCTCACTGTGCTCTACAGCCTGATCGGCAGGAAGCTGTGGCGGCGGAGGCGCGGCGACGCAGCTGCCAGCACGTCTCTCCGGGACCAGAACCACAAGCAGACCGTGAAGATGCTGGGTGAGTCTGCCGCTGCCCGCTGCCTCCGCGCCTCCCTTCCCGCGCCCAAGACTCCATTCCTCCCGGGATGCGCCGGCTCAGGCTTCTCCGTCTCCGTCTCTCTAAGCTTCCCTCTGCTCCCCTCTCCATATCGTGTTGACTCTTTCTTTTGGTATCTTCTCTCCGTGTCTCATCCTCTATCTTCTTCTTTTTTTTTTTATTAATTTTATTGAGAAATCTCAATGAGACAGTTTCAGAACAGGTTAGTAGGATAGTTACAATAATTAATACATTGCACGTTGTTGTCTTTGTAGTAGTTATCCATAGTACAAGATGCAAACATGATATCCTGTCCAAACACTATTGGTAGAAACTCTATCTTCTTTTTCCCCTATTATGTCCCCAAAATGAATTTTATATAAGGCAAAAAACCCCACAAAAACCAAAAAACCTTGCTTGGAAACGAAGACGTTTAAAGAAAAGAGTCTCTGAAGTGTTACAGGGGCGTTTAAGCTTCTTGCCTCTGATAGAATTCGTGGGTAGAAAGTTACATGAAGACAAGCAGGCATCAGTTGGCTAAAGTGTTCAGTGGTGGATGTGACTCAAATAGTGGCTTTTTTACAGATTATCTATTTTGTTTCAATAGTATAATTTGTTTTCTGCGCTGAAGGTTTTCAGACAATCGCATCAACTCCATTGATTCAGCTGTTGGTTTATGTGGCTTTAAAAAAGAAGTCAGAGAAAAATCAGTGCTGGGTTTTCTTTTATTTATTTTCATGATTCCCTGTCCTTCCGGGTGGCATAGACCTGGGAGGGCAAGACAAGCTAGGACAGGCAGACCCTGAGAGCAGGAGAAAAGCAGGCCAGCAGGCTGCTTAGGACCTACCACCCTCCTCAGGCGGCCCTCCAGGGACACCTGTGGCCAGCGCACAAGTGCAGAGTGCTAAACATTTATTCCACAGAATCAAACTGTTTAAGGATATGTGTTTGCTACAGCTGAAGTCATCCAAATGTGGTTTTATGCAGGCAAAACACTAATTTTATTCACTTTTTGAAAGCTAGAGTCTGTATATGGTTTTTTTGAACCTTATGATCAGCATTTCATGTTTATTGATGTAGTTGATGTTTCTTAGAAGTTATTCTAGGATGATCCCATATTTATAATTTTATAATTCCTAGCCCGTATGTATTAATATTATAGTTTATTCAAAGAATGACAGATCTTATTTTCTAGACCACTGACTCACCCAGTATGACTCATAAATTGTAAACCTATCCGTATCCTCTAGGGGACTCTAAACTCTTACATTTGAGTTCACTCAGTTGCCACGGTGGCTAAATTGGTACTATGCCACTTAGTTCTGAGGATCCGTTTAGTAATTTACTCTAATCTTAAAGCTATTAAATCCCTCATCAATGTTAATTTTTTCCTTGTCAATTTTGAGGAAATTAATACTGTGGTGGCAGGGCTAAAACACTTTTCTGGTTGTCTTTCCTTGGTTTCTGAATTTTTTTTAATTTAATCTGAAAGTTATGAAGTCTTTTAAAAATATATAGGCCAAAAAAAGAGACTTGGATGGATAATAATTTATCCTGGTTGGTTGAATGACCTTTCAGACCTATTTATATCTATTGTAAGGGATATAGAACCATCCATCCCGAGGTTCTTAATTCTAATTGCATATCCAATCATGTAAAACTTAAAAAAAAATGATATAGTTGCACATACCTGTAGACTCAGCTACTCAGGAGGCTGGAGTGGTGGCACTATTAAAGCCCAGAAGTTCAAGGCTAGCTTGGGCACAATATCAAGACTGCATCAAAACATAATATAAAAGGAGGGAAGGAGGAAGGGAGGAAGAGAGGGAGGGAGGGATGGAGGGAGGAAGAGAGGGAGAGAGGGAGAGAGGGAGAGAAGGAGAAAGGTAGAAGAGGAAGAGTTAGGTGCCTTCATCTCATTTTTGAAAACAATTTACTGTGTCTGTTTTATATCAAAGAAATCTACATTTATAAAAAATAAATCACCCCAGGAAACTCTAGCTCACATGTACAGTCAAATTCAACTTTAATGCATACATGTTTTTGTTGTGTTTGACACATATAAAATGTAAAATGGCAGATTATTATGGACAAGTTGGCTATCAGTTGAGTCAATATGTCACCTTAATTACAAAATAAGTAAATAAATCCTTAAGCAGAAATGCCGGGAAGTAAAACAACAGTAAGAACTGTCTGGCTGTTGCTTGGAAAGTCTCAATCTTTGTTAAAATGAAGGAGTGGGCAAGAGTAGAGACCCTGTTGCTCTATGACAACAGAGCACAGTGTTTTGCAGTGGTCACGGCACATGTAATTGAAATGAAGCTAAATGTTACAAAGAGAATGTTTTTGGTGCACCATTCCTTGAACTGATGCTCTCTCCCATTGTCCTTTCAGCTGTAGTGGTGTTTGCTTTCATCCTCTGCTGGCTACCCTTCCATGTAGGAAGATACTTATTTTCCAAATCTTTTGAGCCCGGCTCCCTGGAAATTGCTCAGATCAGCCAGTACTGCAACCTCGTGTCATTCGTCTTGTTCTACCTCAGTGCAGCCATCAACCCCATTCTGTACAACATCATGTCCAAGAAGTACCGGGTGGCAGTGTTCAAACTTCTGGGGATTGAATCCTCCTCCCAGAGGAAGCTCTCCACTCTGAAAGATGAAAGTTCTCGGGCCTGGACAAAGTCTAGCATCAATACATGACCAAGCATACTGCTGAGCAGTCATTGCTTGTTATTCTAAATGGAAGCCATAGACCAGCAGAACTTGGGAAGAAGGTGAAGGTCATATTGGAATCAGGGACACATTGGTCTAGAAGCAAGTGGAAGGAAGAAAAGACAGCACCTCTAGGGGTGAGCAGTTGGCTCGACTGCATACCCTTCACTGCTTTCGTTCACTCTTCCTGCATTCCCACCAACTATGATTTCTCCTGCTGGTGCTGGTGCTGGTGAGGGCTTTGCAAACTGGAAGGAGGAGGAGCTGCTGGGAGGGCAAAGGGGGCCCTGCGTGGTGGAGAAAAGCTGATCTGATTTGCTTTCCACACTAATCAAAGTTATTTAATAAAAGGATAAGATTAAAATTAAAAAATTAAAGCACGATTTTGAAAAACTAACTATTTTTACGAAGCTCTAGAGCAGTATGGTCTAAAAGAGACATAATACAAGGTACATAAGTAATGGATATAAATCGATTTACAAAAACCTGATGTTCTTTTTTTTGCACTAAGTTTTTGAACACAATTTACATGTTAAGTTTATCAGTAATATTTAATGCACTTAGATTTCATAAAATTTACAGGTTAAAAAGTAGACTCAACAACTTATTAAGAGTCGATTCAACAATGCAAGTTAAAAATTTTCCAATAGTTAAAACAGATTTTTTAAAATTTAAAATCAGTGAAATTAAAATTTCATTTCTTTGGTTACAGTAAGTACACTATGTGTCCAACAGCTGGCTAACGGTGGCTAACGGTGACTGAACAGAGAGCACCTCTAGAGCACATGCAAAATTATTAATAATCTTATATACAGTGTTTGGAAATAAATACCCTTTGCCTAAAATTGTCTTATACTGAATTAGCATAGCAAAATTTTAGAATGATGAACTCTAAAAATCAAATTCAAAGTGCTATTGACCATGCTTTGAATGTAATGGGATAGAATATGTAAGATGCATTTGAAGATATCTAATCACATAGTAAATATTCAAGAAATGATATGTCATAAAACCATAAATAATCTCAAACCATCTTATTTGACTTTTCAAAAGTGGTTCAGCCAAATATAAGGTTTTGGTTTCTGAATAAAAGAATCATTATTACTTACTCTGGCAAGCTTACAGGGCACTTAATGAACATACCAGTGCTTCATAAAAACTCAGAATCCCACAAATGCTACTGCTTGTTGACATTCAAAACTCTTTGAAATCTTGTAGTCATCTATTTTGAAGTACCTGTGCTATGGCTTGTCTGCAAACCAATTTTGCTCTTTATGTTCCATTGCTTACCTGATAGATGTGCCTCCTTGTGCATTCCGGCCCTAAGTCTTAAACAATATGCACAGTATGCCCATATAAAGAAGTTATGGTTGGAGAGGATCCCACATAATGAGTATCCCACATAATGAGTAGATGCCTTCAATGAAATACTGTATCTTTGGTTAGAAAACTAAAATTTTCCTTTACGTTGGCATTTCCCCCTATACAGCCAGTCCTTTGCATTTAAATATATTGTTTTAAATTGATTACTTTACAATCTTGTGCAATAGTGTACTAAGTCATATAAGAAGCTTCCATATCAATTTATTGGTTTAACTGTGGAATTAATTAAGCCACTTTAGGAAATTACTGCCATGATTATTTTTCATCTACTGAGAGGAAAGAGGATCATGGTGAAATAATTAACTGATATAATTTATTTTGGAAACATCAAAACATAATTAGAATTAGAATTATTTCTCTAGAGAAATGCTTCTAATTTTCATTTGGGCACTAAAACCACACCACATATTTGATCTAAATGCTGAACTTTAACAAGTTGATTACTCAGTTAATTTATAGGAGTATATCAATATTTTTTAAAAGGACACTGGTACATTTAATTCCATGAGAACAAATCCAGGTTCTAATCAGCTGTTTATCTTCCTGTCTGGTGAGTGCATGCCTGGAGTCTTGGCCTAGCTCACTTCTAGGGGAGAGTAGTTTATTCAGCATGAACCACCACTGTCCTTTCTGGTCAGTCTGGAGACTCAAAGGGTCTGCTTCGAGAAAGGGATCCTGACATTTGTCCTCTCCAACCATTGTTTTTACACACATTGCTTGTAACTTCTTTATATGAGCATACTGTGTATATTGCTTAAGACTTAGAGAAAAAAGGAAATGACTCTGAGGGAAACTGTTTCTAAAAATCTCTCATTCTACTAACTATGCTATTTAATAAGCCAAGGAATTTCTTTCTCCTGATAGAACTCACACTTATTTACATGTTACGCTGAGGTTGTCAGATGATAAATATCTTTCAATTATGAGGTAAATGTCTCCAGGTGGCATGATATCAAATGACTCCCCAGTGCTTCAAAAGGCTGTTCATTCCACTGTGCTGTGAATTTGACTCAAAATGAATTTGAGCTGGGCTGTTCCTACATGAACCAGTAAAATTTGTGGGTGCACTCAAGGGCATTCTTCATTAATGTAGGGAAAGTAAGGAAGCAGGTTTCTTTAAAAAATCTCAGGGGCCAGGAAGATGGTTCAGTAGAATAAGCTCTTCCCTGGCTAGTACAAGGGCCTGAGTTCAATCCCCAGTTCCACCAGAAAAAAAAAGTCTCTCTGCGTTTCAACTTTCCTGGTTATATGCCATTTCTAGTTATCACCCCTTATACTATCTCTATCAAGGGTTGGACTATTTTTTCCACAGAAAGTAACTGCTACCTGAGCAAGAATTTTCTATTAAAGAAAAAAATTTATTCTATGTGTCTAAACATTTATTCTTTTAAGATGAGAAGTTTTGTAGTAATGAAATTTAGAAACACTTCTAATGCCACACATGCAATGTCATTTTACAGTCAACTTTTTAATGCAGTGAAAGCTGTTGTGATGGGATTGGACTTAAAATTCTGTTTTGTTTTTTTAAATCTTTTATTAATTTATGTGTTTGGTACAGGATCTCATGTTACACAGCTCAGACTCATAGTGGTTCTTTTGTCTCAGCCTCCCCAGCGCTGAGATCAGAGGTGTGCACCACTATGCCTGGCTTCGGTGGCCAGCTCAGTGCAGGGTGGCTGGTTCAGTATAGGGCCAGCATGGCATGCAGTACTGGGAATTGAACCCAGGTCCTTGCACTTGCCAGGCAGGCACTTAGACCGCTGAGGTATCTCCCTAGCCCTGGACTTAAAACTCTAATTTTTTTCATGCAAATAATTTTACCAAAACCCTGAAATCATTGCAATTTGCAATTCTTATTTTAACATTAACAGTTTTAGTTACTTTTTTTCTTATTCATTTATCCACATACTTGAATTTAATATTTATTAAAAAACTGTGAGATTTTTTGTGAGACTGGTGCCTGAAAAACACTCTTGTCTTTTAAGCAACAATGGGTACATCTTTAAAACCTGACAGACAGATTTACATACATAAAATGTGTACTCACAGCATCTAGGTGAATAGAATAGAGCTTCCTATTTTAGAAATACTTGTCTCTTGAAAATGATAGAACTGAAAGATAATGCCATTAAATGAGAAGCTAAATCTAACATGGTTCCTTAGCTAATGAGTTTCCTATGATTTCTTGCAGTTTAAATTGCAACACTAGTCAGAACAGCTACAATTGTAATTTATTTAAGTGATTAGTGACAAATGTTAATTCAGTGAATTGATAACATAAATATTTTTTATCCAGAAAATAAACTTCGGGTCAAATCAACAGAAAACAATGTACTGGTGACAGAGGCTCCCTGATGTAAGTGAATGTGACTTACTTATTCACATTAAATGAACTCAGTTATGTCAATTCCTACCAATAATCCAAGTTTAAAGTAAGTGAGGTGGAAGATTTGAATAAAGTTTGCTTGTGTTTTTCCTTTTAAAGTCAAACACTTGCAGGATGGTAGAGTTTTGGTGTGCAGAATTATCACCTCTAAGGGTAAAAGCTATCATGTTTATGACCACCAATTCTTTGGCCCCTTTGTGTAAGCACCACCAACTATCCTTCAAGATGGCAAAACACTAATACCCTAAAAAAGCATGCATCCTCTTAAAGCTCAGCAAGCTCTGCTGAGATGTTTTCAAATGTTCTTTCCAAAGGCTGCTCTTTGCCCAGCCACAGTGAAAGTATTGGGGAAGAACAGTTTGAATGACTGCCTGAGGCTTTAACATCTCAAATCCAAAGTATGTCTCTGGCTCAAATGACACCATTATTTATATTTTCTACTATAGCACTCTAGGTTTAGCATAGCAGAAAACAATGGTTCCTATAAATCTACCCATGTGTTGCATTGTTTCATGATATCTGGTGTATTCTGTATAGAGCTTACTACTGCACTTGGTTGATTCATGTGACTTTAATGTGTCAGAAATATTACTGATGGTATGTTGCCCTTTGATTCTTTCTTTATAAGATTTTATAAATGTTAAGGAAAAGTGTACCATAGCTCTCATGTACCTGAAATTTGGTATTGGTTTTCCTTTTTGGGTCTGTCCATAACCAAACAGTTGCTTAATAAATACCTTTTTAACAATATGCTACTGAGCTTATTTTCACTTACAGTTTATAAGCATTGGTAACTGGAATATTTTACTACTTCTCTCTGGGTTATAGATTTAGTTCTCTTTTGTTTTCTAAATTTCTGAAATACACATTTTGTCATTATAAGGGGATCATTGTATTCGGGGATTTTATTTCTTGAAATGCCCTGATATTTAGTAAAGAGTGCGCCAACTCCTGTAAGCACTAGGAAGAGCAGGGAGCCCTGTAAGGGTTATAATCCCAGATCCTCGCTGCTTTCCCTTCCACACAATCCTGCCCAGAGCCAGTGGTGCCTCGCTTGGTGCCTGCTCCCTTTGAGTCGAGGCAGTGCTTCTGTTCCCCGGTACTCAGTAATTACTGACTGGTGATGGGTGGAGGAGGAAAGGCTCAAAACTAGGTTATGTGTCCCACCTGGACATTTGCTTCTAGCCAACAAACTTTAAAGTTAAAATTAAAAGAACTAATAAAGATGTCAATTTCTATTTG